AAACACACACAAAACTTGATATCTTTTCCAACTAGGTAACTTTATCCACTTTTAAGTGACTTTTGCTCAAGTGACAGTCACGACGTTTAACTGAGCACTAATTTATTAGACTCATTTTTAAACTTAAAACTGTTGTAAAACGGTTGTACATATCGATTAGCAATTACACTGCCAGCACACATTTCTAGTAACAGTTTATTCAAGTTCGCACATATCTCCCGTTTGTCGTCACTACCCTGTCGTAGCAACAGCACAAAGTTAGCGAGAAAAAAACAAGAAAAGAGAAATACAAAAAAAAGACACTAAACTAACACACACGTGCTTTTTCATTAGGTAGTGTCGGTGGCCTTTTCCCTCTCTTTTTCTCTTTCTCCTTCACTAATTTGCCGGTCGTTCTCTCCTTTGTTCTGTTCTTTTTTCTTTCTTTTTTTCCTAGTACGTCTGTCTGTTTGTTTCTGTTTGCTGTACCTCCATACATTACCGGTCGCCTGTTTAGGTTTTTTTCTCCTAACTATTTTGGCACTTTTTTGCTGTTTTTTCTCTGTCTTCAACCTTCTGCTGGCTTTGNCACACACACACACACACACACACACACACACACACACACACACACACACACACACACACACACACACACACACACACACACACACACACACACACACATACACATAAATAACACTCGAACTAATTAAACAAACGGTTTGCTTTTGAGACTAGACTAGACTGTTGCTGTTGCTGCTGTAGACTTAGAAAAGCATAAACTCATTTACTCACACACACAGACTCAAACACGCCCAACGAGTGTACCACTCAAGGCTGTTTCTGGTGGTGATTCCTGCCAATTCTGGTGCCCATCTGTCTGCCGAGGAGATGGATTGTGTCTGGATGGTCTGTAAGTGTGTGTGAGTGTGTTTCTGTGCTCTACTGGTTTCTGCAATGCCAGACACACAGCACAAACACAAAGCAGTCAGTGGTGATGGGCCTTTTTCCACTGTCATTCTGGCGACTGCGATTTTTTCCACCGACAGCCCAGGTAGTGGAAGTGGTGGTAGTAGTGCCTTTTTTCTTTACAGCACAACCAAAGTTAGAGTTAAGAAAAAATTCAAAGTAGAAAAAAACGAGATATGAAATAAAAAAATTGGTAAAGCATCTCAAATTGGTCATAATTACTTGCCCGCCCATTACCGTCTCAAATTTGTGAAACTTGAGAAAAGCTGAAAGAGAACTTTACAAGGCCTATTTTTGCTAATCATGCTCTTTTTACTTCTTTTTTTGTGCTTTACTGTTTGCATTAGGGCATATTTTGCAGTGCCTCATTAGTCGAAACACAAACACACATCGCCAGCCACAAATGCTTTCTTTTGCATGGTTTTACTTGCAGACCACTTTGCAAATCTTGACTGAAAGCTCTTTGTAATGAGATGCATCCATCTCGCTGCAATTACAAAGAGATTTTGCTCAAGTGCTTTTTTTCAAAGATAACTTTTTTTCTATTTATAATTGAGTGCAATTATGGTCATTAAAATTATTATCAGAACGTAATGAAGTGTTTTTAGCCTAATAAAGTTTTTATTTGCTAAAAAACTTTAGAATCTCTTTCAAATAATTTTAAAGTTCACTAACATAATAATAAATTTTAAATTTTTATTGTATATAATGCACTTAAACTAATGTTTTTATTACTTAAAGCATGTGAAAAAATGTTTGCTAAAAAAAATTGAATATGACAATTGGTACATTATAAAAGCAGATATTTTTTATAACAATAAACTGATCAAAACAAAAAGACAAATGTTTTTGCCTGGCGCAAATCAAAATAATGTAAATTGTATTACTATTGGATTTTAATTGAAACTTCTACAGTTTATGTAAACAACTATTTTAACAAACAATCAATAGAATAAATAGACAAACGCAAAAACATATTGTTCAATGATAAAGCTACCATATGTTTTTCAAATGTCATATTATAATGTGTTAAAGTGAATAATGTAAGTTTGAAACTAGGAAATTTTTATTTACACTTGACTATACAAATGTTTTAAATGTTAGTTCAACCAAACAATGCACATGCTTATGACAAAAAGAGTTAAATTAAAACTTAACCTAAATATTTGGTAACATTTAAATACAATATAAAATCTAAATATAAAAATAAATTAAACAATTGTACAGTTTTAAAAACCTACATTACAGGTGCTGTTCTCTACACAACAAAAACAAAAATTAAAAATTTTATTAAAAAAGTTAGTTGCATGTGTTTTATATGGAACTGTTTATAAATCTACATTTAATGCAATCATTTATTAAACATATTTCAGACATGTGTACCTAATGAATGAGTGATGTTAAAGACCTGATGGTGCAAAACAATAAAAAATGTATACAGTAAAAACGATTGGCATACATTAGTGCTAAACATAGTCATTAACATCAGTCATTATATTTGCAATTTGATAGTTTATTATTATTATTAGCATGTAGTGCCTCCGCACTTAGTCACCACAGTGAACTCACTCACTCTCATGTTCACCTTTCACTTACCCTAATTCACCTACTCACACAAACAGACATCTTTGTATATAAGCCCATCACATGAAAGCACACTTTACCAAGTCCCTACCAAGTCATAACCAATCCTCACTTGGTCACCATGCTTGTCTGCTTGTCTTTTCCCATGTCATCATCACCAGTCCTTATCCCCATTAAACCAGCCTCAACATCGGCACCACAGCACACAATAAAAAAATGGCGTCTGCAAAAACATTTTTAAAAAAATTGGTTTATAATGTCAACTTAAATTTCGGTAATTTATATGTATAAACTAATTACAAAAATATTAAAAACACTTAATTTAAACCGAATAATGTTTTAAAATTAACTTTAAATATTTGTAAAATTCATCACATTACATAAACGTAATAATGCAAGCATTGTCAAGCAATTGATAAACAGCAAAAACAAGCAAGTATTTAATTTTGCACTTTGATTTAATTGTCTTTTTTTATTCATTGTTTTATTTTTTCGCAGTTGTCCAATAACCATGCAATGCATTTGTTTAGATTACATTTGCTTTGTGCAAATGTCAACTGGCTGTCTGTTTCAATCACAGACAATCAAGTGATGCATTGAGTAGAAACAATTAGCGATGTGCTGGTTTTTTACATCAACAATCACATTACTACAATGTCAAACTATGCAGCGATCATGTTTTAATTTCATTTGTTCTATTGCATGTGCAACGTTTTTACTGTTTTTTTATTCTCAAAAATTAATTTTTTGTTTAAAAATTAAAACGATTAATTGTCAATGATTGACTTGTTAAAATAAAAACATAAAAAATTTTTATAATGTATTTCACATTTATTTTGTAATTTTTTGTTAAAAAATAAATTAAAAATTAAATAATTTTTTTAAATGGTAAAACATTACACTAAATTTTATAAAAATTCAAGTTTAAAACAAACATTAAAATACCGTTTAAAGTTTATAAATGTATTTTAACAAATAATAACTATTAAATTTATTGCATTTGAATCGCCATCTACAGTCAACAAAACAAAGTTAGTTTTTTGAAAATATAAAAATGTATTTAGTATCTAACAGACGGAAAATTTATTTTATTAAATCAATATGCGCAACCAAAACTATTTTTATCACAATCAGTTTTAAAAATTTAGTTGTTTGTTTAATCAAATTAAGTTTTTTAATTATGCAAAGAGTGATCACAAGTGCCCATAAGGATTGGCCCCATTTTTTTCACACTCCCAAATAATGTTGAGTAATACCTTGTTGAAAAGGTAAATTTGAGTAGATTATACATAAAAAATATCAGAATCAAGCACCTAATAGTTTTTGAGAAAATCGGGTCCAAAGTTGCTAAAATTGCATTGCTTTCAATGAAACAAAAAAAAATCAGCAAAAATGATCCAAAAGAGGGCGACACCATCTCAAAGCTAATATTAAAAATGCATAGGAAATGGTAACTTTGGACCCAATTTTCTTAAAAACTATTAAGTGTTTGATTCTGATATTTTTTATGTATAATCTACTCAAATTTACCTTTCCAACAAGGTATTACTCAACATTATTTGAGAGTGTGAAAAAAATGGGGCCAAAGTTGTGATCACTCTTTAATATGTTTACATATTTATTGACAACTTACAAATCTTTTTAAATTATTTTTGTTTTAACTTATTTATTTGTCAAATAAACATCGTATAACTTTTAAGTTTAAAAACCAATTTTACAAAACTTTTAATTATTTTTCAGTTTAAAAATATTTAAAAATTTTTAAAAACTGGTCATTTTAGAGAACTTTGCCCAATGCAAAAATTCACTCAAACTGTACAAAAATTATCAATTTTTCAATGTATTTAAATAAAATACTAAATAATGTACAATAAAGTGTATTATTCAAAATATTTTTTTACTACTTAAACTTGTCGTTTAGTCGTTGTTGTGTTTGGAATTTCTAATTTTCAATCAATTCATTATGCACTACAATTGTTTCATTACTTATCTATTAAAAATTGCTTGTTATATATTCAGTCAAAGTTTGCACTGCAAACCATTGCAGCTGTGTATAGCAGCACAGCAGCTACAGCCTCAGAAGTGTATAGTGCGCCTTGAAAACACTGCTGCTGCTGTTGATACAGTTTAACTAAAGTACATTGTCTACGTGCCCGATTCTGTCTCATTGGGCCGTTTGTCAGTTGAGCAGTGCCGCAGTATAGCAGCAGCAGCAGAAGCAACTGTCCTCAGTTCTACAGAGCAGTCAGTCTCCGCTTGGCAGGTTACTTTTTGTACCGCAGAGCGGGTATAAAAGCCGCCGATCAGTCGTGCAACGGCTCACCACAGCAAGTCTGCTCTTGCTCGGGTGTCAACTTTGCCGGACTGACTGACTGCTCCAAGTGCTCTCCTTCCCAGTGAGCACTTCCGCCACCACCACCACTTTATCCTTTGCTCTTTTTTCCGCCACCCAATCCAGGCACAACATGTCCGGTCGCGGCAAGGGCGGCAAGGTGAAGGCAAAGGCCAAGTCGCGCTCCTCGCGCGCCGGCCTCCAGTTCCCGGTGGGCCGAATTCACCGCCTGCTGCGCAAGGGCAACTACGCTGAGCGAGTGGGCGCCGGCGCCCCCGTCTACCTGGCCGCCGTCCTCGAGTACCTCGCCGCGGAAGTGCTCGAGCTGGCCGGAAACGCCGCCCGCGACAACAAGAAGACGCGAATCATCCCGCGTCACCTGCAGCTGGCCATCCGCAACGACGAGGAGCTGAACAAGCTGCTGTCCGGGGTGACCATCGCCCAAGGCGGCGTTCTGCCCAACATCCAGGCCGTCCTGCTGCCCAAGAAGTCGGAGCAGAAGCCGCTGCCGTAGGCCACGGGGCCCGGGTCGTCGAGCTAACGCCTCTGCCACGCACACCTTCTTCAATTTCGTCGAGAACAATCTATCAATCTAACTAACTGAAAAACCTTTCCAATTGCATGCATGCATAAACAACTACCATCAATTCAAGCAAACAAACTAAAACTACCATCACCACCACGACGACCACCATCAACCGCCAGCTAACCTGACTCCAGCACTTCCATCTCGCTCTCCTTTACTCCTTTTCCTAAGTTCAACTTTTAAGTTCCATTTTATTCATTTGCTGTTTTGATTACTTTGTCCATTTGTACTTTGTTACCCTTTCTAATCTTTTTTATCTATCCAAAACTTCCTGAAAAAGCTGCATTGAGGTGGGTGTGAGGCAGAGGTGTGTGCGCGACGGCCAAACTTAAGAGGGGGCCATCTTTGATCTTGTCAGAGTGGCCTGCTCAAACTTTTCCCTCCTTTGTTCTTTGAGTTTCATCCCCTCTTTTATTTGATCATTCTATTTGGTTAATAAACGATTTTTCCACGAAAACAAGTAAAAAACAAACAAAAAACTCGTTTCTAAAAAGCAGTACTGCTTTTATTATTCTTTCTTCAAGTTTGCCTTCCCTTACCTTCTAATTCGTTTAGAGGACGGGCAAAAGAGGACTTGGGCAATGATGATGTGTGTGGGCAGATTGTGCCGTGCCGTGCCATGACATGCCCCGGCGTTGACAAACGGTTTTACCTTTAGCGTGCCGACAATTCAAGGAAAATTCTTCCATTATTCTACCGTTATTCCTTCATTTGCCATTAGTTATAACAATGTCAACCTTGTTTGAAAAAAATAAAAAAAGGGAAACAATTGTCTACAAAGCGGCAGCGGCATCGGCGACCATTCGTGCATGCAGAAGTTGTGCTGGGCCAGGCCAATTGAACAAGCTTAAGCTAAAAGGGAGCGAGAAAAAAAAAGAGAATGCCCGAACAAAGAGGGCCACGCTGGAAGATTGGCTGGAGTGAAGAGAAAGAAAAAAACANGGCCAGGCCAATTGAACAAGCTTAAGCTAAAAAGGAGAGGAGAAAAAAAAGAGAATGCCCGAACAAAGAGGGCCACGCTGGAAGATTGGCTGGAGTGAGGAGAAAGAAAAAACAAAAAAACAAATAAGAAAAAAGGAAAGGGGGCAATGTACAGCTATGGCTAGTCTACTCTAGTGCAGTCTAGAGTTGGGCAAGTTGGGGCAGCTAGGGGCAGCTGTGGTACAGCAGCACTGCTGTGGACGACAAGCATTGCAGGCCAAATGGATGGTTCCTTGCAGTGTCCCCTGTGTCACACTCTGTGCCGCCTAGGCAACTGCTGCTGTCCCTGCCGTTTCTCTTGCTTCTATAGCACTGTCTGGCGGAATGTATAGTTGACTGCTTGTTTCCTAGGCAAACACACACGCACAGAGAGCACTAAAGCGGCACCACTGTGAACACCACTGTGCTAACTACTTGGGCACAGAGCGCACAAACCTTTCCTTCTTTATTTTCCCGCTCTTTTTGGTCCCGCATTTTGCAAATGGTTTTCTGAGCCGAAATTGTTCTATCCAAACCACTGTCGCCCATATTTGACAGTGCGTGCTTGTGTGTGTGCAGCTGCAGTGCTCACAACCTCAATCAACACACTTACAGTCGTACAGTTGCAGGGCAGCCAATTTTCCGTGCATTTGCCGTCATACAGTGCTTGGAAGGGCAGAGACAGAGTGGAGACATTACTGACGCTGGGCAAAAGTTGGACCAACTCTGCCAAATGTGCTATAGTTTCAGACTGGCCACCACTGCTCGCTGGCAATTGCCAGGGGCCCTCACCACACACACACACACACACACACACACACAGTGTGCTGATGCTCTGTTGGCTTTCTGTGTTTTTCGGCGACGCCACTAATCGATGAAAAAGAAAATGAAACCCATCTGCCGCTGACAAAGCAGACCCGACCCAGTCAGACAAGGCTGTAAAAGACGATGATGGTGCAAGGACATCAAGAGGACATTGCTGCTGCAGCTGCTGCTGTTCCCGGCTCAACTCTCGTTTGAGCAGTAGGCAGGCAGACAATCGATCTGTTTGCAGCTAGGCCTATTACAGCTAGCCACGCACTGCACTACACTGCACTGCTGCTGCAGTAGTGTCAGTTAGCAGTGTACGACGGTCGAAGGTACAATCGACGCCAGCAAAGGTGATCACCGCCAAAACCTTCGGACTATATAACGGAATTTGCTTCCTTCATTTAGTGTGTAGCACCGCTGTCGCCGTTGTCACCGTCAAGTGTGACCATCTGCTTGCCTGCCTGAGCGCTGGCTGCTAAAAACGGTTAACGACATTAGGAAACGAAAAGGAAAAGGTTGTTTGAAGGGCGTTCAGAGTGTGTGCGTGTAGGCACACAGTTAAAATCAGGCAATCAAGCAAATAAGATAGAGATTGGTATTGAGCCGAAACTATTGTTTTGCGTTTAGCTTTTTTTAAAAACTTTTTAGCGATTGTTTCAAACGATACTTCAAATTGTCTATCGATCGGCTAGTTAAGGTTAGTGCAAACTATTGATTGAGTTTGCCTGAAAATCTTCAATCTACTTTATCTGGTACAATCACAACAGCTTTAAGAGTCAGTTCACTATTAAACTTAGCGCAATAGCTAAAGGAAACTTTATTGATTTGAGGGTTAAGGCATAAAATGAAAACCATGCTATTAAAACAAAACTTTAAAAACATTTATATTAAAGAAAATTTGAAATAAATGTTTTATTTGAAAAAGTTTAAAATTTTGCAGCAAACAAAGCAAATGTAACCTACAAATAATGTGAAACTTTGAGAACAGAAAAAATGATAATGTGTGTGAGATGTGTTGCATTGTAGCGCAGCTTTAACACTGCTGAAATGTTATTTGAACTTTTGTGCTCCACACTGTCCGTTAAAGTGTGTGTTTGAAAAAGAATGTCCGTTGTCATCTCCAAAACATGCTGATATGGTGAAGACAAAACTGGAGAAGGCGCCGTTAATCGGTGAATGGCACAATTGGGAGTTTCATGGAGGTAAAGTTGATGATGGTAATGGTTTTTGAGACTTTTTTAAAAGCATCATCATCAGATCTTCTAACGATGAAAGGAAGACAACAGATGTGACTTGCCTGGCGCAGAAGTCTGTCCACCACCAACTCCAGAACCTCCAGAACGAGTGATCGATGTGCCACTGGACGTGCTACTGTTTGTCGCTTTGACTGTAGTCGTCCCGGTTGAAGTCGATGCTGAAGTAGAAGTTGTAGTTGAGGTTGAGCTAATCGGAGCTGCCTTCCGCTCCAGGTCCTTTAGTTCGATGATGTCACTTTTCAGGCGCAGCTTCAGTATGATGCGCGCAATCTGGTCCCTGTGTTCGGCATTGTCGATGCCCATCCGCTCGAGGGCGAACTCGTTGATGCGAATCAGCGACCGCCCGGTGATCTCGTTCTCCAGAAAGACATTGCCGTACAGTTCGTAGTACTCCTCGCAGTGTCGCTTCATCCACTTCATCACCTCGCCGTTTGACCAGAAGAAGACCGGTTTCGGGCGGTACGAGTTGAGATCGGTGTTGCCGTCGCTTTGGCTGCTACTTAGGCCGCCGCCGCCGCCGCCGCCGCCGCCGCCGCCGACCACGGCCTGGCCGCCGCTGCCGTAGCCGACGATGCCATTGGCCGTGTTCATGTACATACCTGACCTGGAGGGGGTGATACAGTGGTGACCTGCAAGGACCTGCCCGAGGTACCAGTGAACAGTGGTGATCGGTGATCGGTGATCGGTAGTGGTGGTGGTGGTGGTGGTCGGCTATTGATCGGCAACAATGTTTTGCTGTGCTCTGCTGCGCAGGCTAAGCTGCCGCAGTGGCTGAGCAGCGGCGGTTAAGGCTGCTGCTGCCTCTCAGCCTGGCAACTGCCCAGCAACATAAGCCAGCCGTCACAGTTAAATGGCAGCTAAGGCAGCGGCAACGGCAGCATCAGTGGCAAAGTGCGCGCGCCATGTGCTGTCACCTAGCGACGCATCCATTGCTGGCCAATTAAGCAAACCTGAAACAGTGTAAATCTTCTGGAAGGTGAACAGTTATGTAAAGAAGTGGTTTTCTTTTATTGATATACAAAAATAATAGTTGGGCGTTTGTACTGCTGCTTTTCAATTGGTATAATATCACTTAGGTGGTGGTGGTGGTGGTGGTGTGCATACAAAGCAATAAATAGAATGTAGTAAAATAGAAAAGTCTGACTGAAATAAAACATATGGAAGCACGGGTATTAAAAGGGCGGAATAGTAAAAATAAAGAGAGAGAGAGAGAAGAAAAGTTTAAAACCACAGCAAATTACCCAACATTCAAGGTGCGCTCAAATACAAAGTACAGTAGTAGTAGTAAGAGAAAAAGGGTAGTGCGGTAAAGGTATAAAAAATATAAAACAAGTAACAGCATCAACAACAAAAAGTTCGTCATCATCATCACATGTTATTTTAGGATATTTTCAGAGACTGAAACTTGAGGATAGTTGGGTGTTCTTTTACACCCACCTTCTTTTTGATGCTTAATACTTTTTCTTCTTCAGCTCAGCAAATCGACGTTGCAGATCATCAAAGTCAAAGTCGTCACCACCACCACCACCGGAGCCACTAGCACCACCAGGTCCACCAGCGCCACCACCACCACCACCTTTTCCCTTGTTCACCGGCGGCTCATCATCATCATCGCTAGGAATGTCTGGCAGATTGGGCACTGAGGGCAGGTGCGTCTCATCAAAGTCGGGTCCAGAGGTGCCACCAGGCTGACCACCACCGCCGCCCACCACTGATTCATAGGACGGTGGAACGCTTTGCGCTCCCGGAGCGGCAATGTTGGGCGGCAGGGCAGGCGGCAGATGAAAGTTGCTGTTGGCCTCTGAGGCCTTGCCGCCCTTGCCTGAATCACCGTTCAGCGTCGGGTCGTTGAAACCGGCGGGGTTGGGCAGAGAGGGGGCGTTGCTGGAGGAGGAGTTGGAGAAGGAAGAGGCAGAGGTAGAGGCGGAGGCAGAGGCGGAGGAAGAGGATGCTGGCGGCACTGCCGGCAAGGGCGGCGGCAGCACTAGGCCACTCGGCTGTTCCGCTCCCAGATCGATCAGCTGACCGAGGGGACCGGGAGGCGGGGGAACGCTTTGGGCGATGTTTCCGTTACCACCGCCACCACCTCCTGAGCCACCCTTTCGGTACAGTTCATCCTCGCGCAGAATGTCCTGGTCCGGCTCATACTCGACGTTTAAGGTTTTGGCGATTTCTAAAATAGTGAAACAAAAAAGGAGATTAAACTAATTTGTCAGTAATCAGTTGAGCCTGAACACCACTCACCGATGAGGTACCGCTCGACGAGAATCTTGGGCGGCGCCTGAACGCCCATCTTGATCATCAGCCGCTCGTTGACCGTCTTCAGCTGGTTCTCGCGGGCCGCCTGCGCGTACGGCTTGCCGTACTTCATCATCAGCACGTCGTGGACTACCTTTAGCTCTTTAACGTCCGATTGCATTCTTGGCGCCACCCAAATGAGACTGGACACCGCCTCCTCGAGGCCCTCGTCCAGCGTCTTCAGCTGCTCTATCATGCCAAAGCGGGCGAGCAGAGTGTCGCAGTACATCTCCACGATCTCCATCGCCTCGACCATGTAGTCCTCGCGGATGATGTGTTCTACGCGAATCTTGGCCCGTTCGGCTTTGCCTGAAAGAGGAAAAGAGCGGGGTCAGTGATGTCAGTGAATGTGATTATGTGCAAATGATTGCTTTCTGTTTTGAGTTGTTTACCCTGAGAGATGTACTCTGCAATCTCCTTGCGTGATTTCTGAGCCAGTTCAGTTNCGCCTCCTCGAGGCCCTCGTCCAGCGTCTTCAGCTGCTCTATCATGCCAAAGCGGGCGAGCAGAGTGTCGCAGTACATCTCCACGATCTCCATCGCCTCGACCATGTAGTCCTCGCGGATGATGTGTTCTACGCGAATCTTAGCCCGTTCGGCTTTGCCTGAAAGAGGAAAAGAGCGGGGTCAGTGATGTCAGTGAATGTGATTATGTGCAAATGATTGCTTTTTGTTTTGGGTTGTTTACCCTGAGAGATGTACTCTGCAATCTCCTTGCGTGATTTCTGAGCCAGTTCAGTCTTTTTCTTTTCAAGAAGTTTCAGCCGCTGAATGCACAAGCTGAGATTGGTTTTCAGTTTGGTGTAGTTTGCTGTAGAAACCATTTTGAAAGTTTTGATTGATTATCAGACGGTGTACTGCAATAAACAACTGTAGTCAAATGGTTAGTTGTTAATTCGTTTAAGCAGTAATGTATTTAGTTTAACTCATTATGACTGTATAAAATGTTAGTTGGAACTGACTAACTTGTCAACAGTAGCTGACGTGTATCAGTTAAAGGTGACAAGTTTGTCAGTTGTTTTCATTTCTAACTGACAAAAGACTACTTACTGTGAAAAAAAGGCTAAAAAGGTTATCCAACTTACTTGGTTCCGTGTTTCTGTCCGCTTCTGTTTTCCTCCGGTTAATTGAATAAGTGAATAAAATGGAAAGACACTCTGAATAGTAGAGTGTTTTGCAGTGTTGGAGCGGCAGCAGCCAAAATTGTGTTTTGTCTGCTTTTAGCAAAATATGATTGAGTGAGTGAGTAATTGAATGAGTAAGGTAGACAGTGAGAGAGGGAGAGGGAGAAAGAGTGAAAGAGTGAAAAAGGCAATCACGTCTGCTTTATCACTTAGCTACTGCTGCTGCTGCAACAGGCACAAACGTCAACGTTACTCAGTGCTATCGTCGTACAGATTACTTAGTGTGAGTCACACACACTCAAACTCACTGCTGCAAAAAAATTGGCTGCTCGTAAAGTGCACTCGCGGAAAGCTGCTCAACGATAAAACGGTGAGCCACCAGGGCGGCACTGCAAGTAACGCTAACATTCTGCCTGTCTGCCTGTGCTTGTAGGGGCAGACTCTGGCAATGGCTGTGACGGCAGCTTTTATGTCGCACTGCAAATAAGTCTGCCGATGACTGTGTGTGTGTCTTTCTGTCTGTTGTTTGCCCAAAACATAAGCCAGTGTGCAGCACCGCTCGACTGCTTTAATTGGAGCAGTGTTTTCAGCTGGCGATCAAACTACAAACTATTTTTCTAATTTAATTTAAACTGCCTTACTTGTGAACGCAATTAATTGATAAACAACGCAAAAAATATTGCCAATTAAGGCAGATTTTATTGAATCTGAAATTTTAAGTTTACATAAATTTTCGACAATGTCAAAATAAATTTTAAATTTGAATTATGTTATGGACATTTTCTGTAATGATTTTTGTTTTTTAACAAAAAATTAAATTAAAAATAGAAACCAATTTTAATAAGTGAAGGATAAAATGAACGCACAACTGCAAAAACTACTCCAATGATAAGGAGAACAATAATGAAGTAAAACCAAAACAGGCACCAGTTAAAACTTGACTGTAGAGGTTTTTCTTCATGATATTTAGGTGTGCTTGCAGCTGGAAGCTTGGTAGTAATTGTATGCTCCGTTGTGGTAGTAGTTTGCGGTGCTGGTGGTGCTGGTGGTGCTGGTGGTGCTGGTGGTTTTGTTGGATCCGTATCATTTTGTGTAAAAGTTTTGTCAACCATTACTACCAAAATGATTAACAAGAACACTTTAACACTCATTTTAATAAAAATTGCCATTTTTAAACAAAAATTTATGACAATGAATTTATTTAAAGTTATTTGTTTTGCATTTCATTTTATATTAAAGTAATTTAAACAAAAACAAAAAGTTTGTTTACATTGCTAATTTTAATTAGTAATGAATATTTATTTTATATTAATTCAATGCCAGTGTTAATTAAAAAATCAATTGTTCTCTAATTAGTAACATGATTTATTTTTTATTTTAAACAAAGATAAATAATTAATTGTAAAAATAAAAACACATTTTAAAACTTTATTTTTAAAATAATTTATGTTTTAATTCAATTTCAAAAAAATTGTTTTTAAATAAAAAAAATTTGATTGTATCAAATAAAGTTAAACTGAAAAAATACTAATGTAGAGGATCGTTGGTTGGCCGTGAGGTTAGGTTGATTGACTTGATTGTAGCGACTTGGACCTGTCGCTTAAATCTCGCAGACACTCGCGTCCAGGTGCACTCCACCGGTCATCACAGGAAGATGGTCTACGAAGCAACACTTCACAGACATTCTCTCGCGGAGTCATGTTAGTCAATCAACCTTACTTGTTAGGACTCACAGTCAACCAACGATTCGCTATGACTCTATCAGGAACAGGTAAGGAAGCAGATTTTTTTGTTATTGTGAGGTTTTGGTAACTGACTACATGCTAAAGGGAAAGGTGTAGGTGCCATTTGCAAGGTTAATGTTTGCGGTGTGACTGCATAGTTGACCATCTTCCGGTGATGACCGGTAGAGTGCACCGAGAAGCGAGTGAGTGTTTTCGAGAAAGTGTCTGCAAAGAGTGTTTGTGTCGCCAGAGTCTATACGCTGAGCAGTAGATGCTAGAAACGTTGATGGCGTAGCGATCGATTAATCGTCGATTGAACACTAAGTTTTGGCAACCGTGATAGTTTGTCTGAGATTCACAAAAATATTGCTTGTTCTTTGTGTGCCTGAGTGTGTTTTACGATAAGATTGTGTGAGGTTGAGACGGTGTAAATTCCCTCCAGTGTATATGAA